AATAGCTTTCTCACCTACGTAAAAAGGGAGATTAAAATGTCTCCCTGTTTTATTAAAAATCATAACTTTTGTCTTATTCTCATTTACATTTAAACACGATTTAACAGTAATTATTAAGCATCGTTAACCTCTCTTGCAATCCCTCTGATGAATCTGGGAGAATTACAATGTCATCAGCATATATTAAACAATCAACCCTTTGGTTATTAACATTGAGATGGTTAGCACAAGAAGAGAAAACATCAGGGAGATCATTAATAAAAAATTTGAATAAATTGGGGCTTAAAACATCCCCTTGTCTCACTCCAATAAATGATCTAAATAATGGAGTTTATTGGTTGCCAATTAATTTTGACACATAGCTTACTTTTACTATACATAAATATGTGGTAGATATCTGAAAATACCTCGAGACCAAAGAATATATGTATAACTTGTAAAACGTTAGAAGATGAAAACCACTTTCATGTCTACTGTGAAATTAATAATTAATATATTACGTATACAACTTTTTAATGACATGGCAAATATAAACCCGGGACTATGAAAATAACTAAGCGAATGGTTCTTTTATAAAACAGTCTTTAGAGCTGAGGACAAGGAACTCTTATTAGTTATTTTTTGCATTATTTGTGTGTGTGTGTGTGTGTGTTTTTTAACAAATATGTGTTGTACTTAACGTTATTATTTGTTTTATGTCACAAGACAAGAAGAAGTATCATTTTACTTATATGACAATAAAGAATTACATGTATTTATATTATATGGTAAATGCATAAACTTCCTCTCTTAGTAAATTCTCCCGTTAGGCCAAGGAATTTTAATCTAAATAGAAGTAAATTAATAATTTGATTCTTTTATGTTGACATTTAAATAATTGTGCATATTTTTTCGTAGTACTTTTCAAAAGATAATTTTAAAACTCGCTCTTTACAGAGCGGAGCCAACAAAATAGTAAATTCAACATAATGCAAGCAAAGTCAAAGGTACCTATGTATCTATATATACATGTACATGTATATGCTAATGTACTGTCTTAAAAATATATATTTGAATAAGAAACGGCAAAATATGATAATTTCTTTTTAGCCAACGGTCTAAAATTAAATAGAAATGTCAACCCGTTGTTGATATATAACCTATTAATGCTGGGACATACATTATAAGGCAAACGAACAGAAAGTCGCCGATAAATTGCTTCTAATTGTTTAAATTTATAAGAGAACACTTTTCAACAATTAATTAGCTTTTTTATTAACATTTTTTTGTCACAAAAAGGATACCATGAAGCCATTAATTTAAATACCAAAGCCATTTTGACAAATTGTTTTCTTAACAAATATTGTTATCATTATTGATTCTGGGGCTCTTTTTCGTTCATGAAATGTATTATCAATTAAAAGACCATTAAAAAAAATATTTGTAACGCTTCTTTTTCAAAGAATTATAATCTCACGACTGAATTGCGACTTTTTTGCCGTCCTACATTCACATTATGATATATAGTAAAATAGCCCCAGATGCAAGTGATTTATGAACCTATGATTTTAACACGAAAAAGTTCTACAAAATCGAATTTTGAATGATTTTTAGAAAAAAAAAGTTTTAAATTACAAAAATGGGGAATTTAGATGGTGAAACACTTTTGAACTTATATACATTGTATATGGAAGCTTTTAACGACCTTAACTGGCTATACACCCATTGCACGGTCGGGTTTCGGGTTTGAACTTATACTGTATAATGTAGCATTTCTGTTTAACCCTTAAAATCAATATGAGAAAAAAGTTTAAAAATGATAAAACTTAAATTTTGTTTATCTTTTTCCAAGCAAAATTAACTGACCACTACTTGAGTATCTTAAATTGAATACATAAGTATACAATTGTATCATTCTACTTTAAATCGTGTAATTCACATAATCTTCATCATTCTATAATCTTAATTGATAATTCATGTCCAAAGAAAATAAACTTCAAATATAAATAATTTAGAAACAAATTCACACATTTAATGTTCTATTATGAAAAGATGTTTAAATTTGAGTATTTTACAACAACCATATTATCATATTCATGAGTACAGTACATCCCTAGTTCAATACATTTTTTTGTATTGAAGTTGGACTTACAATAGTTTTTTTTTTATCAGAATCGTATGCAAAATTTATACTGACCTTTTCTCTGCGCACTGTCTTCATGGTGATCTGTTTCTTTTGTAAATTGACGAATTCAACGAAGTATTAATGATGCGGCGATTGTTTAATGAAATAATTTGCTAATGAAGTCAATGAAGATGACATTGACTTTTTGTTCCAAAAAACTTTTCTTTTTGGGGGGGGGGGGACTAATTACAAGATTTAATTGGTTATGTAAACTCACCAATGAAATTGAATGTCTACTTCATCATTTAATGAAATTGGCATTAAACATGCCATAGGTGGGGCATATGAACTAATATATTTGTTTATTCCTGTGGGTCCTAAGTTTGAAACACCTGCCTGTCAACACAAATTTGTGTAATACATATTTTCCTAAGTGTCAAATTTTTACTTTATGTGTAAACAAAATTCTTGCTAATACATGTGCATAAATAAATATAACATACATAAATAAATTTCCTATTTTCGAAAGAACAGAGGTACCAAACACTGACTTCAACAATGAACAATTTAATGCTTCTCTCCAATATTTAAATCAATAAAGTATGAATTTATTGGTAAAAAAAAAATTATAATGCCATGGCTCTGACATTACTTACATGTACTAGGCGAAAAAAACATAAAGAAAAAGAAATGACTTTTGTCTTTCACTTTAAAAAATGCTTTGGATGGGTTTACATACTTTGCGATAGGGCATAATCATACAAATAAAAAAAAAAAAACTACATCAGGGTCTGAGTGTTGGTGGTTGAGGGGGGGGGGGGGTCTTTCATTTCTCTATTCTTTACATGTTTATGCAATTTTTCTCTATTCTTTAAATTTTTATATATGCCATTTTTCTCTATTCTTTATATTTTAGCTCCCCATTATTCTCTATTCTTTATTTATTTAGTCAATGTTCTCCTTTACACATTGTATATATTTTTCGCCATTATTATCTATTCTGTAAACCCATACAGACCCTCATAAATTTTTGGCAATTTTTTTCTCATGTTTTTATCAGAAAGTCAAAACAGAAAAGTCACACTTCATTTTTCACACTAAGAGATATGTCAGAACAAGCAGGACATGCATTCTCAGATCTGTTTTATGTTTTCAAAATATAGAATAATGGACCTGAAATAATTTAAAACAAAGAGATAACAGAACAAAGGAAAAATCAGTATACAAAAAAAAAGTAATTGATGTATTTCTCAATTAAAAAACTGGTTTCAAATTGCTGCAGTTTGTATTATTGAAGTATTGTACAAATAAGTAATCATACTTTATACCAGCATTGTATACAGAACCTTTGCTTATAAACTGGAGAAGAAAGGGAGGCTGCAATTTTTCTCTTTAATTTTTGGAGACTCCTGTTTACTCTTTTATGCATTAATCTATACTTTGTAAATATATGATGTAGGTACATAATGGTTAAAATGTTCATCATTTATGAATAATTTTTATAAAAGCTCTTATTAATTATGGTTATAAAGTTTCATTTTAATACATATTCAAATATGGTCTTTTGAAAACAAGTTCATTTCAAGTTTTCATTTCAGTATGCACGTATGATGCATGAATGTTTAATTTAAACTATTCTGTTAGACATAATTAGTTACATTTCAATACAGCCTACTCAATATACATGTATATAGTTAATACTTAATCATAAAATAATTCAACATCAGGTAACAACTTTACATTTCAAATACTCAAATTTTGGTTATTAATACTCAGTGGCGGATCCTGAACTTCTCATAAGGGGGGCCCGCTGACTGACTTAAGGGGGGGGGGGGGGGGGGGGGGGGCCGCTCCAGTCATGCTTCAGTGATTCCCTATATAATCAACCGAATTTTTCCCACAAAAGGGATCCGCCTATGATACTTGATATGATGTTGAGGGTTTTAGAATATTTTTTTTCTTCTTTTTTCTGATACATGTAGATGTATAAAATCAAGATCATTATTTTTTGTATCTCATTATCAATATCAATCATTTACAATTTTAGATTAAATTCTAAATTACAAAATACATTTCCAATAAAATTTAATCAGATGTTGTTGTTACTTTTTCAATTTGCCCGCCATAAACTAATAGTCAAATCATCTTTGTGGTTTTTTGTTGAAATATCCATGATTACTGCAGATTTTAAATGTCACCAAATCATGAGGGTTTGGATGGGGTCCTTTAATTCTCTATTCTTTAATTTTTAGGCCATTTTTATCTATTCTATATACTTTTGTCCAATAAGAATCTCTATTTTTCATATTTAAGCACCTCATTATTTTCTCTTCTTTATTTTTGGGGTCTATTTTTGTCTAATCTTTATGTTTTTTGTCCATCGTTCTATATTCTGTAAACCCCCTCCACATCTTCAATGATATTTTTTTTTAATTGCAATATCAATATTAGAATAAGGAGATGTGATATCCCTTATGGAAAAATATGGCTTCTTGCAACTATTTGCAGCAATATTGCCGCAACTATTTGCGGCAATATTGCTGCAAATATTCATTTTTCGTATGCAAATGAGTTTTCTTGCAAACAGTTGCCGCAACATTGCCGCAACAAATTGCTGCAACATTGCGGCAAATATTTGCAGGAAAATTAATAGCTGCAATGTTGCCGCAATATTGCGGCAAATATTCATTTTTCGTATGCAAATTAGTTTTCCTGCAAACAGTTGCAGCAACATTGCCGCAACAAATAGCTGCAACATTGCGGCAATGTTGCAGCTAATTTGTCAGCATTTTCTTCTGAAAAAGGAAAGAAAGACATAATGTACTATAAAGCAAATTAACTTTTATTTTATTCTAACCATCTAAAAAAACAGACATTTGACACAAATGCACACAATAATAAAATAAACAGTTTGAGAAAAAAGAACTATAGGATAAATAACAAAAATTGTTGATTTTTGTATTTCTACAATAGTAGGTCCAGATGCATTTAAATGATCTTTGAAATATTTGACTTTCTTGTTTTTCTATTCATTAAAGGATTTAAAAATGCTGATCAATGCCCTACAGAAGATACTGTATTTAAAAAATAAAATTGCTATTGTATTATGGGGGCATATAATTATTCACTCAGCAAATGAAAAAAAACACCTCCAAACCTTAAAATCTACTGCTCAATTCAAGCTAAGGACCATCTTATAATGTTGCCATATCACTCAACAAAAAAATCTTTCCAACATTTTTTTTTGTGTCATTTGGTTGTTTGGTGGTTTTTATTTCTTACCAGGCACACCTTATTTTGATTTAAATCTGATGCATTTATAAGCTTTTCACTTTCATATTTCTTTGATCAAAATCATATATTTTTACCTCTGACAACATGAAACAGTACGTTGTATGTGACCATTCATTAAATAGGTTCAGTTGAGGTTTTAAGTAAATGTTAGTGCTCACATCCTTTAATTAAGATCTCTCAAACAAGTCAAAGGATAGCAAAATGAAGCCATGCAGATTAAGATTAAAAAATTAATAATAAACATGAATAAATAGTAACTATTTGTCTCTTTGTTCTTAACATCATCAAATAAGTATAAAATGTCACATTTAATTTTTCACCACCCAATATGTAACTGTTCTATAACAGGGACAAATGATAATCCATAAAAATAACTTCAATTGCTCTCCATTGAAACACTGTGACACATCTTCTTGTGTAAACATTTCAAATTGTCAAATATTAAGTAAGACTCCATTGCATGAAATTGAAACAATCATTTCTTCTCTATAATCTTTGTCGATGCCCTTTTGCAGGTGTGTATCTTGGAATTTAAAGCACTATTAAAGTCACTGTCTTTGACATTAAATTTGTTGATTATATATACTGAAAAATAAAAGTAGAACTATGATCCATCTAGCATATGAAAGTATAATCATACAAACGTGTTATTGTGTTAAAACATAATTCAGAGTTGGAAATTATAGCCTGCCCGAGACGGCCTATTTTACGATCGGGCGGTCAAAAATTAAATTTCAACAGTCCGGTGGACGGTCTATTTTTTGCAGGTGTTTGGGATTACTTTTTTTCTATTTTTGGAATGAGTTCTCAGTATTACCCCATTCATAACAGCACGTAAGAATCATGACTGCCAATTAACCTTTTACTACCACATGTTTCCACACGATTTCTGCAGGGAACATGGTGATACCTGTTGTTTGTAAGATCCTCACTCATTGGCTAGTTGGTATCGAATCGTCCAATCGCGATCACGTTTATTAAATAAAAAATAAATATAAGAGGAAATCGAAAGTACAAATTTGTTTTTGTAAACTCATGTCTTTACGACAGTACTTGGGCCTTTCGTTGTCGAAAAAGCGAACTGCTGTTGACTCAACAGGAAAAAATAAATTGTACGATCAGTCTAAGAGGAAGCGGACAATTGTTCCTGGTTGGAAAACGGAGTTCGAGTGGTTGAGTTTCAAATATTGTGAAAATGAGGAGCAATAAAATTATAAATGAAACCAAAATTTTATTTTTATTTGCTTAAAAGTAATTTTGTGGAACAAAGGTACAAACAAAGGTATGCTGAATTACACTGAAGAATAACTAACACCCCCAGTGCCCAAAAATTAAATCACACCTTGCTTCTGAACAAATGGTCATTAGGCTTAGCAGTGTCTGCTTAAATGTGCACTTGTAAGTCTTGTTGCAGTGTGTATTTACAAAAGCAGTCATAAGTCATTTTCATCACAAAAAATCCTCAAATTTATCTAATAATACTTCTAGTCATTAAAACATCTCAAAACACAAAAACATAATTTAGAATCTTGAAGGAAAATGGGTTTGATTTTTATTGCATTAATTTTCAGGGCTGGTAAATTTTGATCAGGACAGGTAATTTTTTTATGCAGCCAGCCCTGTGGTCTGGTAGACATTTCAGTGAGTTTCCTACCCTGCATAATTGCACGTTTTGAAGGCCACTTTCTATGTCTTATCAATTGGTCTTCCTATCCTTTTCATACAACTTATTCTGAAATGGCCTTTACTTAAATATAATTTATAAATTTTTTGCTCTTATTCCCTGTCACAATTAGAAAGCCCATTCAAAAATTTAAAATTGTCATAAAAAATGACAAACAGTAAGTCTATAGATAAAATGTTAGATTCAATAACTAAAGTTCATTTTCAAGGGTATAATGGCAGACAGGAATAAATTTTTATTCTATTTCATTCTACTTGTGTCAAATTATAGTGGCATGTATACAGTTTTGATCTAGAGATATGTTCCTTACCCATAGACAGGAAATTCTTAAAAAAAAAACTTGTTAAAGACATTATATCTTGATACATATTGTGAAAGAACTATTTTACAACTTTAATAATGATAAAAGATCATTTATTAAGAAATTGTCTGACAATTAAAGCATAATTTCATTTCATTTTAAAAGAAAATGAAAAAGACCCTTTTACATTAGATATATTTTCAGTATTATCTATGACAACTTACAACGTATAGCCTGAATTATCTTGTTGTTTCGGAGACTACTGGCCTTCTGCCCAACTAGCTCCTGTGGCTCAAAAAAGCCATCTAGCATTTTTTTGATGGTGAAGGAGGAGCCTTTGCCTTTACACTTGGATAGAAGGGTTACCATCCACTTTTGAGGGACTGAAACTTCAGTTCCTCCAATCCTCTCATAAAGTGGAGGTATTGCTTGATCCAATGGAACCAATTTCTGTAAAAGACCAAAATACAAGATTTAATACAACAGTATTCATATTTTATATTGAAAGAGAAAAACTAATACATTGTCGTATCTTAATCATGTTAATCAATATATTACATTCATGTTATAGTGTAGATATTAATTGTGCAGAGAATTTTTTTTTATGTTTCCTATATGTATCTTACATGTCTTACATGGTTTAGAGTATGTTTATTGGAAGAAACAGTTATATCTAATTCCATATTTTATGATGCTAATTTTTAAGTTTATATACATTTCTATAATTGTAAGACAATTTATACTTTCCCCAATGTGTTGGTTTCAATAGATCTCAGTTCTTCATTGGTTTAAATTTTGTTACGACATCTGTCATTAGATGTTATCATGACAGATGTTATCATTTCCATGCATTTTTCTTTATAATGATTTGTGCATATCATTAATTGTTGATAATTGGTTTTAGAACAAACCTCCACTTACATAATTAGAGTGATCAATTTGAAGACCACGAGACGGTATGTAGTGGTCGACAAATACTTCAGTTTCTGTGGCGTCCTGTGGCTGTCTTTCACTTCTTTCTAAAAAAAATTTGTTTTTGTTTTTATTTAAACCATTTACAAAGGTACTAAGGCCTTTAACCCTTTCCTCCATAATGACGCCTTTTGATGCCACCCCCATTTACTCCATAATGACGCCTTTTGACACCTGTGTAGTGCCTCAGTTGAAACATCTTGTCTACGAAAAATCTGTATTAGACTTGATAAAATTTATATCTAATATAAAAAGGATAAAATTTCATCGATGAAATATTTGTATTCGCAATGCATTAATACTTTAAACCTAATGATTTTTTTTATTGAAAAAAATCATATGCGAATCAGGTATGATAAAAAATAATCCATGGAGGAAAGGGTTAATAGAAAATATACTATACATTGTAGAGATATGCAGTTGTGGTCACTCAATATTTAATTGTACTTTTGTTAACAGAACATATTTTGACCATATTATGACATTTTTGTCGAGCCTTTGACTTTAGTCGAAAAAGCGAGACATAGCGATCCTACATTCCGTCGGCGGCCACAAATATTCACTCTGTGGTTAAAGTTTTTAAAATTTTAATAACTTTCTTATACTATTTTGGATTTGTACCAAACTTGGACAGAAGCTTGTTTATGATCAAATGCTAGTATCTAGAAGGAAATTTTGTTTTCTTCCAGTTAACATTACATTCAGTCTGCAGTTAAAGTTTTTAAACATTTTGATTCATAAACTATCCTGTATTTTTACCAAACTTGGACAGAAGCTTCTTGCAATCAAAAGATAGTATCAAGAGGAATATTTTTATTGATTTACTTCCTCATTTTTGTTGAGGCTGCGATTAACAGAAAAAGTAGGCGAGACACTGGGTTCCGCGGAACCCTTACGAATTTTTGAAAGGAGTGTCTGTTACGACTATACAATTTACCATGTAATAGCTCTATATATCACTCACAAATCTAAAATTTAATTGATGTTTTGACCAAAACTTAATATGCTAGAAATAATTTTTATGCAGTTTAAATAATTTTAAATGCATCCAAATTTCGTAGAAATCAGAAATACTGCAGAATTGATTATATAGTTAGGCTTATAGCAAATATTACAGCAGCTAGTGGTACCTATTCGCAATGCAATTTTCTCCCCATGCAAATGTGTGCAAAACAAATCCACTGTAACTGACTTAACCTACCAGTTTTATCCTCCAGGTATCTAATCCTGTTGAGAAGGGCCTCATTGTCAACTCTTGCCTTCTCTAAGGCACCACTTAAAGCTTCTAATTTTAGAGTTTTATTTATGCAACCTTGGCACTCCTCATTTAAAATATTAATAGTTTCATCTTGAATATCTACATTTTCATCATTATTATCGTTTTCCACAAATTGCAGCGCTCTAAGTGCGGTGGACATACAGGATGAGGTTAATGGTTGGATGTCCGAATTCACATGGTTTTTATCATTAGAAGTACATGAAGTATTAAGCAACGGATTTGTTAAATTGGGATGAGTTTGGTCATAAAAAGCAGAATTGCTAGCACTAAAGAAGTTATGGTTATAGTAGGGATGAGGTTGAGGTGGAGTGGAAGGGTAAGAATAGGTAGAAAAATAAGGATGAGGTGGAGGATGAGTTGCAGGGTTATAGAAGGCTGGCGTGTTTGGATGAGATGGAAGTTGTGATAAAAGATTAAAGGTGTTTGGTGTGTTAGGATGTGGTGGGGGTTGAGTTGCAGGGGTAGAAATTACTTGCGGGTTGGAATGCCTGGGAGGTGGAAGATTAGAAGGGACTGGTGTGTTAGGTTGCTGGGATGGTTGAGTTGCAATATTAGATAAGACTTCTGTGTTAGAATGTGGGGGAGGTTGAGATGGGGGTTTAGAAGAAACTTGTGTGTTAGGATGTGGGGGAGCTGGAGGGTTAGAAGGGACTTTTGTGTTATGGTCTGTTTGAGATGCAGGGCTAGAAGGGACTTGTGTGTTAGGTTGAGTTGCAGGGATATTGTTAGTGACACTGCTATTAATGACATCTACATTTGTTTCCATGCTTACATTAGTGGCATGCTCTTCAATCCATTTTGTTGCTGCCTCCATTGCAGCATTTCTGCTTATCTGACGTTCCTTTTTCTCTTTTTGCAGTTCTGAAAATTAGAAAATGAATTAGTCTATTCTATGTTTATCGTTCAGAATATTTCAAGCACCTTAATGGGGCTTGTATAATTCACACTTGTACATTGTCAGCATCCTCCTCCTCGCCATGAAATTTCAGGTAAAAAATTGTTTTGAAAATGATAAGAGCGCCCTCTACAATATCAAAAACAAATATGGCAGAACGTAAAATTGATTTTTTTATATGCAAATAAAACACATGATTCAGGCTGTGAATCATCATCAGACTCTGTTAAGGATGTTCGCTTGTCATGGTTTGGATTTTTTGTCAGATTTTCGGAATCCTCTGGTTTTATCCATTTGAATGCCTTTAAAAAATTTGCCCATTGACCCCCATTTTTCTTTTTTATAAATATAAGCCATCTGTAAAAGTTTTATAAAATCTTTGTTATTTTTTAATAGTTTTTGAGAGCTTAAACTTGTCAATGGTAAAGCTATACAAAATCTAGAGAGAACATTTTCCTGCCAAAATTTTAATGGCTAATATCTCAAAAACAAGCACATTGACCTATATATTTTTTTTGCTGTTTTGGTTCCTATATAAATCCCTTATCAATATATACTAGTTTATGAAAAGCTTGTTATTTTGAAACTGAGTAGCGAACTTCCTTAATTACATACTTTAACATTACCTGTACTTTTGATTTAACTTGAATATACTAATCAGGAAGTTAGAAATTTCTTCAAAAGTGTACACTGTGATTTCCTATATAGATAAAATTTTATAAAGTGCAACATTTGCATTTTGGCTTAAATTTGTGCACCAGTTCTTTAATTATTTAAAAGAAAAGTGAAATGAAAACAATTTGTTATCTTTGATAAATCACATGTGTATAATTTCAAATGGAATAGCCCTTACCTTCTTTTGATTTCTTTTTTGGTGGAACAGAATCAAATTTTGATCTTCTTTATCCTGTTTTTTCTTTCTTGAAGCCACATCTAAATTCTGTTGACCTTGTTTCTTTCTTTGGACTGCTAATACAAAATGTAAATATTTTTATAAAGATTTAAAAATAATATGGAATGATTGATTGATTGTTGGTTGCTTAACGGCATGTGGCAAATATTTCATGCATATTCAGGACGAGAACAAGTTCACAATAAATACAATAGGTAGGTTCTGTAATAGATTAAGAGATTAAGGTCGGAGAAATGAGGGTATATCGGATAGGGACAGAAATTTAGCCTTGCAACAGGTCACCTACGGACCCCTCAAAGAGTTATTGCAAGGGTTCTTAACGTGCAAAGAGCATGGGCACTCTCTTTACACGAGGCATCGGATTTAACGTCCTCATTCTGACCGTGTCTGCAAATTTGTACATCCCGCACAGCCAAACGGACGCCCCACTTTGGCAAGGGTTTTACTGCCGGTCGGAGGAAGACCAATGGTGACCATACTTCTATTCCCCAGTCACCCTTGGGGGTTAATATGGAATGAAATAGAGTATTAAATACAGAATGAAACTCACTTTGAAAGGGAAGCCAACCATAGTCAATAAAGCAATTAATAAATAATATGAATATGTTATTCATATAGCATGTATAGCAATATCATGAATTTCAATCAAAGTAAAAAAAAAAAGCACAGATAATATAAACTGTTGGTTGTCACATTCAATGTTTGTAGAAATGCAGTCCAATAAAATGATCTATAGTTGCAAACATCTACATCTGGCATTAAGTTATCTTTTTGGCAATCATACCACATCTTCTGGTTGTCGAGCCATCGACTTTTGTCGAAAAAGCGAGACATAGCGATCCTACATTCCGTCGGCGTCGGCGTCGTCGTCGTCGTCGGCGGCGTCCACAAATATTCACTCTGTGGTTAAAGTTTTTGAAATTTTAATAACTTTCTTAAACTATCCTGGATTTCTACCAAACTTGGACAGAAGCTTGTTTATGATCATAAGATTATATTCAAAAGTAAATTTTGTAAAAAAAAAATTCCATTTTTTCCGTATTTTACTTATAAATGGACTTAGTTTTTCTGCCAATAACATTACATTCACTCTGTGGTTAAAGTTTTTCAAATTTTAAATACTTTCTTAAACTATCCTGGATTTCTACCAAACTTGGAAAGAAGCTTGTTTATGATCTTAAGATAGTATCCAGAAGTAAATTTTGTAAAAAAAAAAATCCATTTTTTCCGTATTTTACTTATAAATGGACTTAGTTTTTCTGCCAGTTAACATTACATTCACTCTGTGGTTAAAGTTTTTAAAATTTTAACAACTTTCTTAAACTATCCTGGATTTGTACCACACTTGGACAGAAGCTTGTTTATGATCAAAAGCTAGTATCTAGAAGGAAATTTTGATAAAATTTTGTTCCATTTTTTCCGTATTTTACTTATAAATGGACTTAGTTTTTCTTCCAGTCAACATTACATACAGTCTGCAGTTTAAGTTTTTAAAACATTTATTAGATTCATAAATTATCCTGGATTTTTACCAAACTTGGACAGAAGCTACTTACATTCAAATGATAGTATAGAGAGGAATATTTTTATTAATTTTTTTCCTCATTTTTGTTGAGCCTGCGATTAACAGCAAAAGTAGGCGAGACACTGGGTTCCGTGGAACCCTTACGAATTTTTTTATATTAAGATCAATCTATTTACTAATGTATAGCTAACTCCTGATAAAATATTTATCTTCATTGTAGTTTTGTACCTTTTTTTGGTCCTTCAGCTGATTGATCATGCTGAGTTGTGGTGTCTTCACTGGTACATGTATTAGGGTCCATTTCAAAGTCCATTAATAGATTTGGTTTAGACACCCTCTTTTTTGTTGGAGGCTACAATAGAAAAATGCATCTTCACTTTTTGTACAGATGTAAAATAATTCATTAAGATCAGGACTTTTAATTGTTACTTTATAAAAAGCCAAAATAAGTCATTAATTATTTAAGGAATGACTGTAATATTTTTTCTGTCTATGCAGAAATAACATAAAAAATGTGGTGCACACTGAATAACCCGCGTAGCAGGTTATTTTAAAGTGTGCACCACATTTTTTATGTTATTTCGAATAGACAGATAAAATATTAGTTATTTTTTATAATTTAATTCTTAATTCCATTTTAAACCTGAGTAAACCATTAAAAAACGTTGGTGATGTCACAGTCACATGACTAAATTATGTCTATGAGCGGATAAACAAAACGACGTCAGCCAATCAGAAGACGTGTTACATCCAAAATTAAATTATATAGATTAGACTGTTGGTTTTCCCGTTTGAATGGCTTTACACTAGTAATTTTTGTGGCCCTTTTCAGCTTGCTGACAATGCTGTTCAGTGAGCCAAGGGGCAGTGTTGAAGACTGTACTTTGACCTTTAAATTAATAGTTTTTAATTTACAAATTGTGACTTGTAGAGTTGTCTCATTGGCACTTATACCACATCTTCTTATATCTATATATATCATAAACTTAGTCTTCTGTGCACAGTTTTATCATTTTTTACTAGGGATGTCAACGAGTACTTGAGTATCACTCGGTGGTACCGAGTATCGATTACCAAAATGATACTCGATTAATCGGTTTCTGTTTGTATGTTGTTGCTTTCTTAAGCTAAAACAAAAACTATTTTTATTGAGAGCGCCTCCAGAGAAATTAAACTTTAATCACAATAAATAAAAATTAAAATACGATTCAAATTTTTGGTTTAACTGTCATTTAAAATCTCTCCAAACATAGGTAGGCTATGAACAAGAGCACCTTTCCAAGGCTTACACTTTAGGCTAATTGTGTCTTATAGTTATCCAACCACCTCTGTACCGTCAGAGCATATATTTTTAGCAGCAGGACTGTTAGTTACCTAACAAAGTTGAGAAATCGCCTCGTCCAAGAAAATGTTGACATAAATAATATTTTTAAATAAGAACAAATTCGTTGCAGCCTGTGTCGACCCTCAGAAAATGATAAAAGGCATCAGTAAGTTCTAATCATCACACCTTTGATGATCAGTAAATGTGTTTTTTTAAGGTTACCAAATACTGTTGTTTGAGTAATAATTTTTCTATAGATATTGATTAATTACTTGATTAGATTATTGCCAGTTTACATAATTAGTACATGTAGTAAATCTAATTAGCTATTAATTGTGGTATAAAATTCCTTGGACTATTATCTAGGTAATATTGTCGAGGGTTTTACATTCATAAAACAACGACCCACAATACATATATATATTAAAATGGGTATAATTTTGTGTTTCCATTTTGTAAATGTTATACCAAGGGGTACTCGAGTATCGCTCGGTAAATCCAACGAGTACTCGATTAGTAAATCTTTACCGAGTTGACATCCCTATTTTTTATGCATCCTTTTCTTTCAATCTTCAAAAAAATATTTCACTGTCAGTGTTGTGAAAATATGGCAGCTACATGTAATAAATGGTCGTCAAGGTTTTGAATTACCAAAATAGCAAGGATATTCAGGTAAGCAGGTGTATAACATCATGAACATGTACAATAAGATTATTTCGATGACAGAGCGATGTTTATGTTAGAATTTGGTTTCCCCTTTGCACTTGTGTATTGCGATCACTGGATTTTTACATGAAAGGTCATGCTCAGGCTCAGGCAACAACATTCTGAAAACATGTAAACCAAATTGTTGTCTAGAAGCCAACAATTAAAAAAAAGTACATTTCTTTTAAATTTGGACAAATTAAAGAATATTTTCAGGAAAAGAGTATACGTACATAATTTTAATAATAAAAACTAGCTTTTTTGTTATAAAAAACATTCATGTATGCATAATTTGTTTTAAATTTGAAGTTTCATGTGAGTTATTTATGACTTTCATAAATGTACCTGAGAGTTCTTATTTTTCCGCCATATGCCGTCACACTTATTAGCCATAGTATAAAACTGATCCTCATCTTTTCCTAAAATTAAGATAGATACATGTTGTATATTGAATGTAAAAAATAAATAAAGATCACTTCAGTTCAATTTGTTTACAATCTTTTTTGCATTTTGCCAAAAAATGCTGCCAAATTTGAACATGTGTTTTAAATTGTTGTGTCAGTAATTGAATCTATGTTAATTATTATTTTAAAATAAGGCCAAATAAAAATATATGTGTGGTTCCAGTTACCCGACCGACCCTAGAACTTTTTTTTTCATTTCTGTAAATTTTAAAAAATAAATTTACAAACGATCAAATTTTGAGGATTATGAATTTAAATAATTAAATTCACAGATTTATATCATCTGAATTTCAATTAGCTGCGGAACCGTAGCTCATAGGTCGGAGTCTGGTCCTTATGTTATTTTTTGACTATTTGCGGACTTCCATCAGAAGTATTCGTTATGGCTACAATGCAAAAAAATCATAACAGAATAATGATAAGAAATAAGTAAACATGCATGTACATGTAGTAAGATCATGTCATGAGGTATGTAATGTAGATGCACTTGGCCTATAGGGTACGAAATGGTTTAATTTTACATTGGGTACGAAAGAACTTGATACCATGTCCAGTGTGCATAAGCAGGACTATAACCCTTTCATATCTTTCAAGTGCCTATCCCAGGTCAGGAGCCTTTATATATATACATGTACATATATTGGAAGGCTATTTTAAATTTTTGCTTTGACGCCTTCCTGCGTAGCGTCAAAGAAAAAAAATATAATAGCCTTTCAAGACGTCATAATTATTTGGTCAAGAGTCAAGACCTGAGCAGGCCCCACTGATGAAAATTTCTTGATCCACCTCTGCATCATGATAAGAGATTCCTCTGGCTCTGAGAAAAGATAACCCAACATTTCCAAAATCCTCATAAAAAAATATACAGTACCCCCCCCCCCCCTTTAAAAAAAATAGATATAAATAAACTAGCACAGATGAGTTATTTATAATATACCTCGAAATATCAGAGTTGCATGATATTTGTCAGTACCATACATCGCCTCACATTTCTGGCCGTAAACTTTCTCTGTGAGCTCTGACACAGCTATATTAACCAGGTCGTTTTTGGTAACCACACCAAATTGGTTATCTTCCCAAAATACCAGAAAGAAAACACCGTCAGCTGCTTCGGTCACTTTCGACGATTTTGCCATTTCAAAAACGTCATGTTTTGGAATAAAATCCATTGCTGGTTGGGTTTTCTGTATATAAATTGTAGTCTATTGGAATAAAAATTTCAAAGATGGCGCGCAGAAATTCAAACAAGAACTTCCGTTTCCGCTACTAAAGATATTTTTCATCATTGAAGCGCTTTATGTAACAGTTATCTCCGTTAAAGTCTTCGCTTCAATATTACGTTGACGAGGAAAGTGTTTTGAAATCAGTGTGTTTATAAAACGAAGTTTACTGTCATTATCACAGAATGAAACGAGCAAACAAAGGTAAGATTATCACCAGAGAGTCGCACGACCATTAATATTCATGATTGCAATAATCATGACAACTGTCAATCGCCACTATTTTCTTGTCAGTCGTGGATAGTTTGTAATTTGGGCTTTAAATAAATGCTTCTTTCTTTTAAAATTATATAAATTATTCACTGATAAGGAAGCCACGAGATAAGGTCACTATACGTAAAGCAATTATAATCTTTAATATTGGGTTTTCAGATGCGCATCTACGATTTGAAAAAAGGGGGGGGGGGGGTCGGAAGCTAGACAACCTCTTGGAGTGGACAGGTAAATAAAGTCTGAATTGTTCATGAAGATGGCTTCATTAGGATTTTGTATTGTCATTGAAATTAACAAATAATGAAATTTGTAGTCTTGAATTTACAATTTTATTGAAATTGCTGATCAATTTTCTATAAATATTTCAGACTCAAGTTATCCTGCTGCAAGGCCTAAAAGATATAACACCGGCATGAGACTAACAAGAGATGAGCATTATGAGGTATTAAAATATAAGTTTTTCACTTTGTATTATCTGATCCAACTTGTACAATTTTGACAAAACAGCACTGATAATTATATCTAAGCTCTATATGCACATTCATGAATTTTTGTGCTGTTCATTGAATGTTTTCAATATTTGAATTCTTCCATTAGTAACATGTATATTCTTTAATTCAATGCAGGTTAAATATTTTTTAAAGATACCCAATTATAAACATATCTCTTCTTGGTTATCAGTTTATTTAATTTTAATGTACATGATGTATACATATGCTTATTCTTGAGATATATATATTTATTATATACTTAGTAGTAAATACAGATAATTTGTATGTGTAATACAAAAATTGGCAAGCGTTCTGTATCAGCCAACTGTGATGATATCGATATCAGCAAGGTTGCAAAGGCTTTAACACACCTTTAATCTGTATGACGTCACATCATCGATTGCAGTACGTCACTGTTGCAAAGGCTTTATCACACCTTTAATCTGTATGACGTAACGTCATCGATTGCAGACACTGTTGCAAAGGCTTTATCACACCCCTAATCTGTATGACGTTATGTCAAACCTATAATCTGTATGACGTCATTTCAAACCTCCTTACCTGTATGACGTCATGTCACACAAAAAACATCTACGTGAGGTATATGTATATAATAAAGTGTATATGATATGGCTTTTTCAATATCACACACCGTATCAACCCTCAACCAATATAATCCCTCGAGCAGAGCTCTTGGGATTATATTGGTGTCTCGGGTTGATACAGATGTGATATTGAAAAAGCCATATGATATTCTCTCTATATATATATATATAAATTGATTTTTATGGCCCTGCCACAAAGTTGTGGAGCCTGAAGCTTTACTCTTATCTGTCATTCCGCAACAAACAGTTATACAGACTTTTTCTAAACAGACCCAGTATGAGTTTGGTTTTGTCTCATGACTTTTATTGAAATTACCAGCTTTAATTTGGACTTTGAATGAACATTTTATAATAACAGTTACCTTTTGTATATGGATTTTTTTACAAACACCTTCACGTATTCAGCAGATTGTTTGTATGTGCGTACTTCTATTATGATGAGTTACAGATCATGTTTACATTTGGTTCCACTTCACTGATTTTTGCAGAAATTAAGGACTTTTGACCATGTTCACATTGAACATTTCATGAAAATATCATTTATACAGACTGAGACTAGTAATTTTTCTAAATGCATTCACACATTGAACTGAATTTTAGTGTGTGTGTCTACTGTGATGAGTCTCAGATAAAGTTTTAGGATTGGTTCTGTACTGCTGATTTTTGCAGAAACAACATGCATTGGACTGATTTGTGCAGAAATTACAGGTTTTGGACTTAAATAATAGATACAACAACTGTATAATTCTCAAATTTCCACTTCAGAAAAAGTTTTTTCAGGAACTTATATTTGATTTGAATGGTTGTAATTTGTAAGTTACCTTTAAATATGCCGGCACCTAATTTTGTTATTACTTGTAGACTGCTGTCTCGATGACGATGGTTGACAACCAAAATGACGTGAATGAGGTAGTGGATAGATGTAGTCCTGACAGCCCAGAAGGAATGATGGGCAGTCACAAAATGGTCTTGAGAACCAACATAAAACAGCCAATAGTTATAATAAAGAAGCAGATTCACCATTCTCAATAACAAATTATCACCAAGACATTGAAATTTTAGCCAATGAAGATGAGGGAAAAAATGAAGAAGCAATTTATCAACAATTAGACACTTCAAATTTTGATGTAAACACAACACATATTCAGGCTTTGATAGAGGAAATTAACTATGACCCTGAAGAGACAACTTGCAATGCAGAAAATTTAGAAGAAAATCTTTTTCCTGTTGATGATGAGGAACTATTTGATGAAATAGAAAATGATTCAGATTTAGAAGAACCTGAAACCGACAAAGAAGAAAATTGTACTGATGCTGCTATTTATCACGGTCATGACATGCCAGTATGGGTCAGCATGGTAATGATATTGCTACATATGATAACAAATTTTGTTTCAAAACATGAAATTGAGCAGATATTGATTTTGATTTCTGCACACTGCCTTGAGGCTCATCCTGGACTCAAGAGTTTATATCACTTCAAGAAACATTTTGCATCATTTTCTTCACCATTAAAGAAGCACTTTTATTGTATTAATTGCTTAGCATGTGTGAATGAAAATGCCAACATATGTGTGAATCAGTATTGTTTGAAATCATTAACAAATCTGAAATCAAAATCCTACTTCATAGAGCTTCCTATAAAGGATCAATTGTCAGTTTTATTTAATAGAGAAAATTTCACAGTATTGCTACAAGAAAGATTTAAAAGGGAAGTTAAAGCTAACATTATCACGGATGTGTATGAAGGTAAAATTTATAAGGCGTATTCTACCAATGGTGGACCATTATCAGAGGAATTTCCAAACAACATCTCTTTTGTTTTAAACACAGATGGAGTTGCAATTTTCAAAAGCTCAAAGTTTTCTCTTTGGCCTATTTATTTGATGATTAATGAACTTCCTTATAAGAATAGAAAACAAGTTGAAAATATGGTTCTCGCTGGGTTATGGTTTGGTGATAGTAAACCACTGATGTCAACGTTTTTGAAACCAATTTATCAATCATTACTTGAACTTGAAAGAAATGGTGTAGATATAAATGTTCATGAAAATGTTATAAAAGTGAAAGCATTTCTACTTTGTACAGCAGCAGATCTTCCAGCAAAAAGTCTATTAATGAACATGAACCAGTTTAATGGGGAATGTAGTTGTGGAAAGTGTGTCCAGAAAGGACAAACATTTAAGACAAATAAAGGTGGATGTGTACACATATTTCCTTTCAAAAAGGATGAAGTTATGGAACTCAGAACAAAAAGAACATGTATTGAGAATGCCATCACTGCAAGGGAGGCAAAAAAAACTATAAATGGCATCAAAGGACCTTCTCTCTTAATGGGGCTTCAAACTTATGACTTTG